GTAACTTCTTAAACTTTGATTTTTTTAAAGTTAAAGTGTGTTAATTTAAGACATAATATCAAATCAATTATTTATTTTACTAAACGAACCTGTAAATCACGAATACTCCAAACATTATATCAGTTTTCACTTGTTAATATTTCACTTTTACAAAAATCTCGACAACTTTCAGTTACTAATTTAAAAATAAAATTAACGTTTTATAATACGCACATTAATTACTCACTATTTGCATTGTTTCATACTTTTAATGGATTGTGATAAAATGTTTATTTTACTAGAGATTCATGATCAACTATTGCATATCGAACATATTGCTTTATAAATGAAGAAACATTTTTTATGTTTGTTTATCGATAGTCAAATAATTTATATGACAAGATAATGAAATAATATCTTTCATTTTTAATTCCAATTTATCAAGTAACAACAAAAAGAAATAATAATAAAGCGACCTGATACTCTTCTCCAGCATACCACTCGACAAAACTCTTGTATGTCATGTTGACAAAATTCATCTGGTTTGTTTCATCCAGAAAAAAAATAGTTTTTTTATGAATTGTTTAAAAAGAAACTAGAGTATACTCAAATGAACGTGTCAATTTCTTTGTATTAATTGGTCGATCAGTAAACTGTAGATCATAAGAAATTTCTTGTAAGGCAAGTGGAACGCAATGTACTTGATCATTACTATCCGTTGACAGTGCATATACAGCCTAAATACCAACAAATTGTCAATATCAACTATAGTAATAATTTAACCTAGACAAATTTTTCGAGTTTAAATGAAACGAATCACTCTGAATTGAATGAGCAATCTAAACCGTTTAAGATGAAATTCAACAAACCATTCGTAGTTTTTTAATAAAATAAATTATTTGTAAAAGTGAATTCATATCACAAGTTGCACCAATGTTTCTCAAACCAACAAAACCACATTATCCTTCTGAATCCCACTACAATTAAATATATTCAGATCTTTTTTACAAAAAAAAAAAAATTCACAGCTTACTCTACATTACATGGAGCTTCAGCATGAATTTTTGCTTCGATTAGAATTATATTATGTCTTGCCCATGTATGAATGCATTATAGATTTTCTGATTTTCACAATATACATTTACTTTCCACAAAGTTGTTATTTGGATCAATAGCATGTAAAAGAGTTAGTTCAACTTTAGCAAATATAGACTAGCCAGGTGGAAGTTTTTCCGGTTTATATTTAATAAAAACACTAAACTTTCCACAATCATTATGATAACAATCATAATTTGGTTTGAAAAATGCCAATAAAGTCAATAGAAATCTACGAATTATTGATTGATCACGTGTTAATTGACCATATTGTGGTTGTGATGATGCAGTTATATGAAAAAGAATTGAACCACCGTGACGAAATACTATTTAGTAGAAAACAAGTTGAAATGAGATTTTTTTTTGTTATTTCGTATGATTTCAGTTATTGTCATCTTTTCCATTATCAAAACTGACATGAACAATTGAATCATTAGAAAAATCTTCAGGTTCAACTTTGGTTACTTCTTCACCATTTTTTTCTTTCTCGTCAGATCTTTCAGATTGAATCATGCATGTCAAAGCTTTCATTTATTTAATATTTTGATTTATATGAGTTATCACGATGGAATAATAATAGAGGTGATTAGTACGTGTGAAAGAGCAAAAAAATGACAGAGTTTTGATTCGAAATAGTGTTTTATTGTTCTATTCGATATAATGAAATATTTTTGATACTCATTCTTTGTAGAAACTCATATTTTTAAATTATATGTCTGTTTGAAGCCAATCATCGTGTTTATTATTGAAAATAAAATTGATTGCTGTGAATCACTTTCATATGATTGAACTAAGTTTCAGCATCAAAAAGGTGCTGAAGTGCTAGTCGTTCCAAATCTGCACTTTTCCCTTTGATAATAGATACGATTGAGTAAATCTAACGAAAACTTCGTGTATAAATGGAATTGAACCTATTATCAATAAGAAAGCAACATTATCGAATATAATATTTGGAAAGTTATTGCGTATCGTTTTTAGACGAACAAAGGCGAATGCAAAATAAAAACAGCATTAATTACAGTACAGCCAGATTTGCAATAATCTATAAAACAACTCAGTTGTCCATATTTAAGATTAGTAAAAATTCGTTGAATATCGTCATTTGAAGAAGATGAAACAGGTTGTTCCGCACGAATATCGGTACTAATATAAAAGACGAATGTATGAAGTTATTAAAAATGAATAACAATGTAATTTTGACGTTGAATACCATCGATATATCTAACTCGATTGTATATACACAAAAAAAATATATGGTTAATTCCTCAATATTACATATCCAATGAAGCAGAGGAACAGTTTGAGTATCATATGCATGACTTAAATGACTAATTTTCAATGAAAAATATTTCATATTGGGTAGATCATCATATTGAAAAATCAAAACAATACATGATGTACGTATAATCAATAAGGACAGAGGCGCATAAGAACAGGAATCAGCTCACGAACCGATTCACATAAGAAGTTTATTTTCGAATGCAAAATTTTACGGCGAATCTTTTGATACCAAATTCAATATACAGTGGCGCTCAAAATTGTTCGTACACCTGACAAATGACCTTGTTTCTTTAATCTCTCAAGATGAGTTCAAGATATAGAAGTGCGGTTTCGGGTGTGTGGGTATGGGTGTCGGTGTGGGTGTGGGGTGTGGATGTAGGTGTGGAGGTGGTCAAAAGGAAGATCCGTCACGACACCGATACCTACATCCACACTCACACCAACACACCCACACCCACCTACACCCACACCCACCCACACCCACACCCACACCCAGTTCGGGAACTCAGCTGGTCAATCCCTAGTCATTATGTACGTTATGGATTGTATTAAGCAGAAATGGTTATTAGTCGAAAACTGAGCAGAACTAATGTTCCTGTCTTAGCTTTAAACAATAATGTTTTATAAAAAAAAAAAAAGAAGTAATGCTAATTTCCTTTGTTCTTTTATTTTGTACGCTTTCGTTACGTATGATGTGCCTTAACAAGCACAAATCATTTGCTAAGAAGGATCGTTGGCTTCAATTAGAAAATGATTCTAGTATCTCTTGATAGCCGATCAACTAAGTCAATTAATAGACAGACTCTCTGTTGTGTGAGAGATGATAAATCATTTTTTATTACCTAAATCAATAGTTGTAGAACAAAAAAAAATCACACGCAACAACAATAACAACACGTAACATGAGAGACGAAAAAGAGAAAAATAAACGTTCACTTATTAATGATTTATAATTTCAACTTTTGTAAAAATTCATCAATATGATAATCATCTGTTTTTTCATTTTTTAATGTATGTATTATTATATCATTTAAATCATCGACGGATAATATTTCTCTATTTTCTTCTAAAAAAGCAAGTGTTTTAATAATATTTTTATCCTTAAATAATTTCATCGCATATTCATAAGTTGGTAGAATATCCAATGTCTTATTATCTTCAACTGCTTTTTTAATAATTGATGTATAATGTTGAAAATAAGGTTTTAATAATAATATACATTTTAAAAATGAAATTCCATCATCAGTATAATACAATGATATTTTTTCAATATTTGATCCTAAAATTGTTAATATACCATTTGATGCTGTAGATACACAACCTTGATAATAACTTGGAGTTTTTGGTTTTACAGCACTACTATAATCGATGATATATACCATATTTTCATACATAATCATATTTCCAATTCGAATGTCGCTATGTATATAACCAATTTTATGACCTAAAAACAAAAGAACGTTATTAATCTTCAACAAGCATCAAAATATATTGAAAAATAAACGTCACAGGATGGAAAATATTTAAAGAAGGCCTTGTCCCTGAATCTCCTTTAGTCTGTTGAAAACTATGAATACAGAGGCGAGCATATGACGACTTTTCTGTCCTGTCCTGCTGCTCCGTCACTTCTTATCCTGCTGAGCAGCAGAGAAGGACGAAAAACAACTTCCCATCCTGTCTTGTGCAACAAGGACAGACATTAAGCTGAACCAAGACAAATAGTCATTTTTTTCAATAACACACATATCTTATGAGGAAACTTCCCCAAGTGTTACCCTCCGATTTCAATGAATTTTTGTCTATAGATACTACATAGTGCCCTAGTAAAAACTCTGAAAAAATATGGGTTACTATCGCTTTCTTCAAGAGTTATGCATATTCTTATTTTGCTCCTATAAGGTATAACATACAATATCGAAAAGAGAGTTCGCCAGACCACCAATCAGGCTAGCTGTCGTCAAATGTTTTTTCTTTCATGTTTTTTAGCACAAACGAAAGGTCGTATTGGGAAACTTATAAATCCAAAATATCAAGTTGTTCTGAAGTACTTATGAAAAATGCCAAGGATCAGAACAATCAATTTTTCGTGGTGAGACCATAAAAATTTTAAAAAATTGTTTTTTTTTAAATTTTGATGTTTTTTTTGAGAATCTTTCTGTCTCTGATCGTCTCTTTGGGCTAGAAAAGGTCTCAAAAGATACATAAACGAATTCTGTACAAAACGGAGTACGCCAGTATTCATTACAATAAGTTTTAGTAATTGATTGTGCTTCCACAAAAGAAGGAGGTCTATATTTGACAGTCGTTCTTTTGCTTGTAAGTTGCCTCTAACCTTGTCAAGCTATGGTATTGCAAAAATATGAATTGAGTTTCTGTAAGCCCTTGAAATTCTACGTCTTTTGAAAGCTATTCTGGCTCAAAGGACCGATCAGAGACAGAAGGATTCATCAAAAAAAAAACATCAAAATTTAAAAAAAACAATTTTTTAAAATTTTTATGGTCTCACCACGAAAAATTGATTGTTCTGATCCTTGGCATTTTTCATAAGTACTTCAGAACAACTTGATATTTTGGATTTATAAGTTTCCCAATACGACCTTTCATTTGTGCTAAAAAAACATGAAAAAAAAACATTTGGCGACAGCTAGCCTGATTGGTGGTCTGGCGAACTCTTTTTTCGATATTGTATGTTATACCTTATAGGAGCAAAATAAGAATATGCATAAGTTTTGAAGAAAGCGATAGTAACCTAAATCCTTTTAGAGTTTTTACTAGAACATCATGTAGTATCTATAGACAAAAATTCTTTGAAATCGGAGGGTAACACCGGAAGAGATTCCCTCGTTAGTAAAAAAAAATGCATATGAAACAAGTCGCGAAAGTTAACTATTCCATCATCATTATTATATTTACACAGTAGGTAATACTACAATAGTCAAAGCGATTAAGCAATGAGTAGATGTGTCAATAACGTCAGCGTTACAGGTAAAAAAGCATTATACACAAAAAATAAAACAAATATTCATTAAAAAAAATCTTTCATACGGTTATATGTATTGTGCTAGTAAAATATTATCTAACTGTTTTAAATTGATGTTAGTTCGTCTTTCATGTATAAGTGATTCGGTTCCGGAAAATTGTCTTTCGACTTCTGGCTAAAGCCATTCCGGTCCAAACCTGTTAGATACGGACTCACAACTGAACAGCAGTCTTAATCCTTTTAATAAAGATTTTTATAAATTAATCTGATAGTCGTTCCGCAAATACACGATGCTTTTTTCGGTCATTTTTATTGGCGACTAGCACAACATATACAGTTCTCAGGCAATATTGCCGATGGACTCACAATAATCAAGTCACGATTGGTTCTTATTCTCAAATAAAACTCGTTCAGTCTAAAATTTTCGAACTAGAGCCCAAACTCGGCCAACATCAAATTTTAGGATCCGACCTGAACAAGAGAGAATTTTTGAATTCCGAATCCGGACCGGGTTCAAGATTGACCTGATGGACTCTACTCTGACACATTTATCGACGAATGGTAAAGTTAATACAATTTATCATTTCAGTAGTACATTCACGGCTCATAGTACACATCAAGTATATCAAATGGCGATATGTACTAAGCAAAGATTGTAGAAAAAAATGACGTAATAAGAGCAGGACCAACTTATTTGTCCTGCTGAGTAGCAGGACAGGACGTCCACATCGTCCTATCCTGCGCTCATCTCTGTATCAATACTCAGTTTTTGACAAACAAAAATTGATTTTTATATAAATGACATATTTTCAATGATCATTTACTTACATAAATGAACTTGTTGCCAAATATTGATTAATAATTGTGTATCATCTAAAAAACGTTGTATGAATAGTTTATCAAGTTTAACTCCACGTAAATTGAATGTAATTAAATAATCAGCATAATCATCATCAAAATTCATATTCATACATTGAATTAGATTCATATTTTCTCGTTTTATTTTGTTCATTTCTTCAATTATAAATTTTTCTTTGATACAATTTTGTCTTGAGATTTTTAAAACAAATTTTGTTAATTGTTCTTGTTGAGATTCACAATAAAACACAAACGAAGAACTACCTCGTCCCAAATAATGTAAAAATACTATTTTTTTATTTGAAAATATATTTATAAATTTCTCATTATAACCTAATTGAGTATCTGATAAACTTAAAAATAATGTTAATATTTGTAAACCGGTAAGTTGTGTAACTGTAGCTTGTGTAATATACTTGATCTGATTTATTGTGTCATCATATAAAACCTTGATTAACATTGTTTCTTCAAAATTGGTTAGGCAACCTATGATAAATTTTCGACCGGGTGAATAACGTAATATAGAAGTGAGATAACTGGCTATTTGATCATAATCTTTCGTCTTTACTTTCTTTGTTTTTAATTCAATAATTGATTTGAAAAAAAAAGGACAACTTGAATAATCATTAAGTCGTGAACCTGTAGTACAATTCCAAGACATATCCGGTTTTAAATTGGAAAATAAATCAACAAATATTTTATCATTATATGAACACGTATCATGAATATAATTAAAATTTCGTTTGTGTAAAAAATCTTCAAATAAATGATTTATTTCATTTTCTTTTGAATTTTTATTTTCATCATAAAATTTTTGGATACCATTGTGTAATAAATGAAAACTATCACTTTGAATTAATCTTTCTATTTCATGATCAGTTAATGACAATATTTCATGAATAAATTTATACATATAAATTCTGTTTGGAGCTGTATGACTAACACTGCTACTAGATTTTGTTATAATTTCACTTGGAATATAAGTTTGACTAATAAACGATGACATTTTGAATTAAATATCAACAATAAACATAATCAATAATAGAATATTTCTTTGAAATTTATCAGTTAAACTAGAATAACTAAAATAAAAGACTAGTAGAGAATAAATAGATAAATACTATTTTTGTTATAATTTAGGAAAAAAAAAGACTTTTTATTTTTTATTTTCGCTTGAATTAATTTCAATCAAACGAAGCAATTATGATGTAAAATGAGGCGTTATTTTTTTATTATTATACAAAAATTTTACATTGATAAAAAAGGAGAAAAAGTATTTAATCAAGTTTATAAAGTTTAAGAGTTCATTGTTTTTTCGTTCTAACAGCCATATAACAACCATTAGGAGAAATACAAACATTTCGAATATTTCTTATTTTAGTATCTTTAATTAATTTTGTTTTGCCTTGTTGATTAACTGCCCAAAGTTTATTTGTATACCAATTAACAAATAACCATCATTGATCATGAAGCAGTATAAACATTAAAAAAAATTTATGTTGATTTTCTCCTGAATCCATTGCAATTCCACGTCTTATTCTTTTCATATCACGTGACATTATATCTAATCGCCATTTTAAATCATCTTGTTGCATTATTAATAAACAAATATATTGAGAATCACATCGAACATCACGAATTTCAATATCTTTTGTTTCACAACAACCAGATTTTGAATAACGTTTTTTCAATATCCATTGTGATGTTGATGAAATATGATATTGATCAATATGGACACCTTTATGATAATTTACATAAATATCACGTTCAAATGGTGATATCGATGCTAAAACATGTGATCGATCTGCAGGTTGAATTGCATCAACTTTAATTGGAAGATTTGGTGATGGTTTTATTGAATCATATAAATATACAGAATGAATTGTTAATAGTACAAAGACAGATAATGATGGCATCCGCCATATATCAACAAGAATACCTTAAAGAAAACAAAAAAAATTATTTTTGAAATAAAATCAAAGAAAGAAACAGACCATAATCATTATCTTTCCAGTCAAGTTCAGTTAATTTTTTTATGATAATCAAATAAAATCAGTTTATGATTATCATGAAGAAGAAAATGTGTATTTGAAAGTGCTAATGTTGATGAATTTATATCTCATGAATAATTTTTTATTGGTTCAGGATTGATAGTAAATGTATCAATAATATCAATCGAATTTTTTTTTCGTTTTTTTCACAGGTGATGTTTCATCATAACTCACATCTTCTAATAAATCTTTTTCATGACTAGCTAAATGAGTTGATAAAGCTGTTTTGTAATTTTTATTGGAATTGATAGAATTCTTATATCAGGTAATTATACACGAATTCATTGACGATCAAGCATCATATTACATTCAGATTTTATATGACATAATAAATTCTAAATTTCCAAAAAAAAAATTAATCTTTTCGCTGATTCAAACGACATAAAAATAGAAATATCTTGATCCTTTGAAGGAGCAATAAGAAACTCCATAAAGTAATCATTCAATATTCAACTTTGAGGATATGAATTTGTGGCGTTTTTTCTGAAATAAGTAAGACCGATTTTACCAAGTGGAAAAATCTTCTTGGTGACAATTTCTTTAAGAACTCTACTTTAATTTCTAAATGAACTCTATGCATTGGAAGAAATACCACAAACTGGAACTATCAATTTTGTTACCGAATATGCAAATATTCAAAGAGATATTTCTACTAACTAAATGTGATTATCAATGTACACTTTTATGTATTATTCGGAAGGATGAACACTCTATGATACCTATTCCTAGATCTTTTATGAAATATCTTTTAGTATTTTTCAAACGATTTTTAAACAGTCTATGGAAGTGTAAATGTGAGAATTCTTTACTCCTATTAAACTTTCCACTTTATCTCAAAGACTCAAATGTAATATTTGATGTTAGAATTCGGCGGCTTCCAGAATGTTACGTGTATCCCGAACCGCTAAGTCATCAGATAGACATAAGAATTTGAAATCAATTCTGATAAATTTTACTCTTTAAGTCTTAAAACCAAAGACGCCACACATTTAATTACTTAAATAAAACTGTTATACGTGTATACTGAAATCTGTAACGTTCAAAAGAATGAGAAAATCATGATATTTCGAAATAGGTTTGAGTTTTTTTTGTCTCTATCTGATGATTGAACGGTTCCCGTTCCAAGTAGTTTTTAAAAAAAAGCCAGTTTCGATTTCATTTTTTGGAACCATTGAACCCTATTTGATGTATATACATACCTGCATTTTCCCAACTTTCTCCGGATCAGGTGTTGGATCATCAAGAACTTTACTAATTCTTGGCATAATACAACTTTTAAGTTGATCAATCATTTTCTATTTGAATTTATCCGATTCAGGACAAACATCTTGAGTATAAACTTGTGCTAGATCTGCTAAACGTTGTGAATAGATTTGTCCAAGATGTGCCACAGCAGCTGAATGCCTTGATTCCAATTCTTGTTGACATTTTGTATGAATATGAGAGAAATTCATGCTCTCTAATGTACGTAATTGTTCATTTGCAATATCAGATAATTCAAGTAATGCATCAGATGACCAACCATGTTTATTATTTTCTTTATTTTTTGAAACAAACGACATTGTTTTTCTCTTAATTAATTAGATGGATTATTGACAAACGAGAGAAAGAAAAAAAAATGAATTACTTCTCGAAACAAAGAAACATTGTGTCATTCAACCATATTTTTTGATCAACTTTCTTGAAGATTAAGAATAATGCATAAATAAGTTAATGTCATCACAATCGTTTATTCTGATTGGAAAAAATAGATTGTGAAAAGAGCAAGCAAGAGTACTTGTCCAGTTTAATCACAGTGTATATATATATATATATATATATATATATATATATATAAACAGAACAAGAAAAAGAATTGATTGACGAAAAAGTAACCATCATATTGAAAGATACATACAGTGACTAAATATATTAATCACAGTTAAAAGATGTCAGTAGTGAGTGCGTTTTCAGATATTATGTGATCAAGTATTTCAATATTAGGTCATCAAATATAATCGAACTTTCTTAACAAAAATTCAACGAACAATAAAAAAAATATTAATTAAACAGGATAGAGTTCAGAGATTGGTTTGACAATATTTCAAAATGGTAGGTTAACCTTTTACCCATATTGGCAATTGGAATTGCCATTTTGTAGAATGATTGCAGAAAATAAAGGAAGCATGGGATTTGAAAACGATAGGAACATTTTTTGTAGTGAACTTTATAAGCTATCGATTGGTAAAAAGAATTATTTTTTTTCATCGCTCCGTCTTTAAAATATTGGGCCAACAAAATCGATAACTTTGAAAAAAATGAAAAAAAAAACGAATTTTTCGAAATAAATCGTTCTCTACTTACAGTAAATAAAGATCTTTCGGAATTTCTATGTGATATAAATTAATGCAAGTGTCTACTAAGAAGTTAGATATGTTTCGAATGCATCATGATAAGCTGGCCGATTGCATATACTAACGCACATAACTGACCAAGGAACCAGAGATGTCCATCGCAGCTTGGAATCTGCCGCTGCCGCACCGCCGTCGTTTAGAAAATATGGTGCCGCGCCGCTACCGCGCCGCGTTGTTCAGAAAAACGAAGGCTACCGCGCCGCTGCCGCGCCGCGGCTTACTGGAAAAAAAACTTGCCGCTGCCGTGTCGATACAAAAAGTACAGTCTAGAAAATGTATTCGTTCTTAAAATAAAAAAATATGTAAAAAAAGTTATCAGAAAAAGAAATTTAAATAATTAAAGAATATTCCGAAAGAATATTGTATAGAAATCTAAAGAGTAAGTGAGAAAAAAGAAAATAAATATAAAAATGAAATTATTGAACCAACAAGCCATGTTTAGTCTTAGCTGATCTACCTCTTTTTCTTTTCTTGTCAATAGGAACTGTTTTTGTTGCTGCTTCTTGTTTGCAATATATTAAACGAATAAGCATTTTCTTTGAAAACTTCATCGGATAAATCGCTTGCATATTGTGCAACCTCTAGCATTTTCATCTCTTTTACTTGTTCAAATTTAAGTAATGACGAGCGAGACGATTAGATCCACTTAGATTAACCTGAAGTTTCATCCTGGGCAAGTGCAATGCCAGATTAGGAAAGCAGTTTTCGTTAAAGTCTTCACTAGTTGCTAGATAGATATTACATTGATATATATACATATATATATATATATACATAGGTATATATATTACTGAACTAGGTTA